TAATCCCAGTTACTTGGGAGGCTGAGGCAGGAGAATTGCTTGTACCCAGGAAGTGGAGGTTGCAGTGAGCCGAGATTGCACCATTGCACTCCAGCCTGGGCGACAGAGTGAGATTCCATATATGTGTGTGTGTGTGTGTGTGTGTGTGTGTGTGTGTGTGTGTGTGTATATATAGTTAAATTTAATTAAATTCAACACAGACTTGTATGAAGTTACAATGACAAGTTAAGTGCTAAGAAAGAAAGAAGGTGCTATGAGTAGTATAAAGGGGCTATGAGTAGTATCCTAGCTTAGACTGAGATGGAGAAGGTTGGGGATACCTCTTTAGAAGTAACATTTAAACTGAGACCTCAAAGGTGAGCAGGAATTAGCCAGGTAGAGTGAGGAGAAAAATTTCTGGTTCCAGCAAAATAGTGGTGAAAACTTTTCTGCCACAAATCCCTAGAGATGCTGGATAAAATACAGCTGAAGTTTTTTAAAGGTGTGGCTGAGCTTGCAAGAACGATGTAGAAATCCCTAGACGCCAGCTAAGCGGAGGCAGCATAGCCTGAGCTGTGTGGGCCAGTAATGGCTAAGGGACTAGGTCCTTACCAGTACCAAACTCTGATCTATTAGAGCTGACAGCTGGGAAGTTAGAACCCTCTGAGGACCACAACCTTAGTGAAAAGGGACTAAAAATTCTGACTGTCTAAGTCCAATGAGAAGGTAAAGAAAGTTTGTCTTTGCAGGGCCCTGGGTAGGGAAAAAAAGGCCCTAGGTGAAATACTGAAGCCCAGTGGTTTTGCCTTGTGAGATTCTGGAGGCCAGATTTACTTTACCTGCTTGGTGTGGGAAATCTCAACCTGAAAAATTAACATAGGCTGGACACAGTGGCTCATGCCTGTAATCACAGCACTTTGGGAGGCTGAGACGGGCAGATCGCTGAGCCCAGGAGTTCGAGATCAGCCTGGGCAACATGGTAAGATCCCCATCTCTATAAAAATAAATAAATAAAGTTTAAAAAAAGAAAAATTAATCTGAAAATTGATCCCGGGCTGGTAGTGCCTTCAGGGCACCTTGCAGAAGCAAATGTGACATTGCTCAGGAAGGGTGGGTCTCTGAACCCAAGCCAGGCAGAAATAAGCTGTGCTTAAGCTGAATTCAAAATCATTCCCCTCTGTACACAAAGTGGGTAATTGCAAATATTGTACAAACATGGTATCAAGTATCTCCTATCTTAAAAACAGAGGCCGGGCGTGGTGGCTCACGCCTGTAATCCCAGCACTTTGGGAGGCCGAGGCGGGCAGATTACCTGAGGTTAGGAGTTCAAGACCAGCCTGGCCAGCATGGTGAAACCCCATCTCTACTAAAAGTACCAAAAAATCAGCCGGGCATGGTGGAGCATACCTGTAATCCCAGCTACTCAGAAGGCTGACGTAGGAGATTTGCTTGACCCTGGGCGATGGAGGTTGTAGTGAGAAGAGATTGCGCCACTGCACTCCAGCCTGGGCAACAGAGTGAGACTGCACCTCAAACAAACACGCCGGGCGCGGTGCCTCACACCTGTAATCCCAGCACTTTGGGAGGCTGAGGCGAGCGGATCACTTGATGTCAGGATTTCTAGACCAGCCTGACCAACATGATGAAGCCCCATCTCTACTAAAAATACAAAAATCAGCTGGGTATGGTGGTGGGCGCCTGTAATCTCAGCTACTCAGGAGGGTGAGGCAGGAGAATTGCTTGAACCTGGGAGACAGAAGCCGCAGTGAGCCGAGATTGCGACACTGCACTCCAGCCTAGGCGACAGAGCAAGACTGTAACTCAAAAACAAACAAACAGATGTGCCAACAAAAACTTCCCCTTTGGCCTGGGTGACACGAGACTCCGTCTCAAAAACAAAAAACCAAAAAAACTTCCCCTTGATTTCACATCTACTTTTGGCTTCTATTCCATTTTTCTTTTCAACTCCCTTTACACAAAATTCATTGAAATAGTTTTGTTCTGTTTTGTTTGTATTTGCTGTCTCTCTGTCTCTCTTGAACCCATTCCAGTCAGGTTTTCATCACCATCCATCAAAACCACTCTTTTTTTTTGAGTTAGAGTCTCACTCTATCACCTAGGCTAGAGTGCAGTGGCGCGATCTCGGCTTACTGCAACCTCTGCCTCCCGGGTTCGAGAGATTCTCCTGCCTCAGCCTCCTGAGTAGTTGGGATTACAGATGCGTGCTACCACACCCAGCTAATTTTTGTATTTTTGGTAGAGATGAGGTTTCACCATGTTGGCCAGGCTGGTCTCAAACTCCTGACTTCAGGTGATCTGCCTGCTTCGGCCTCCCAAAGTGCTGGGATTACAGGCGTTAGCCATCGGGACTGGCCAAAACCATCCTTTTTATGGTTATTAGTAACTTGCGTGTTGTCAAATCCAATGATCATTTCTTTGTCTTCATTTTGCCTACACAGTTGGTCATTGTCTTCATCCTAAAACACTTTTTTCACTTGACCACCAGGACACTACTCCTTCATGGCTCTCCTACCTCACCGGCTACTCCTTCTCAGTCTCCTTTGCTGGTTCTTCTCCATTTTCCTTATCTCCAAATTTTGGAATGTACAGGGTCTCAGGCCTCAAACATCTTCTCTACCTATATCGTTCCCTAGGGAGTATTTAGGATCCCATCCAGGCTCATAGTTTCAAACATCAAGCAAGCAATCAGTTCTGCACTGACACCAGCAAGTTGTCCTGTAATTCAATTCAATTCTAACACTATGTAACTGGAGAGAGCATCAGATCCCAGAGGTTGAAGGCTCAGTCCCAGAAGGCATCCCCCAACTTCTGATGCCAATTGCAGGCCCCAGCTTGTTTTATGTGTGCTTCTGACTAACCA